ATGTGATTTTATGTATTGTCCACTGTAGTTTTTGTTAATTTTTGTTGCATGCATATAGTTCCACAAGTGCTCAGCCATCAAGGAGTCAATTAGTAGGTACTAGTGATTTCACTCAATTCCCCTTTTCCTTGATTTTTTTTTTCTTTTTATAACACTATTAATATTGATACTCTTATTATGAATGTTACGATTATGACAGTGCTATTAAAATACAAATAATAGAAAAATAAATATAAGATCATCTTTCCAAAAATCAAGGGATGAGGTAAACAGAGTTATGTTGTATTTATAATTGACTCCATGATGAATAAGTACTTGTGAAGCTTGATGTGGAAACACAATTTACTCAATACTTCCAGGAAAATGTAGCATTCACTGTAGTATCATCCTGTGAAATGTATCTACATTTCATAGGTGGTTCCACAAAAGCAAAGCTAAGGCATTAATCAGCAGAACTGGTGACCTCTTTGAGTTTTCAGGAAAAATAAATTTTACTAGTGCTATCAGTACTGAAGCTGTTGTTATCCTTATAGATATTATATTTATTATTAAGTTTAGTGAGAGTACTAACAGCAGTATCAGACTAAAGAAAATATTTCCCATAATGAAGAAAATGGATTAAACAGGTAAGATAGGTACTAAGAGGAATGGAATCATTAGTGACCTAGTATTTGTGCAGATCATTTCATCCACAACCATTGGGGTAAATTCTTCAAAGATTTGTAAGTCAAACAGGGAAGCACTTATTCACTTTCTTAACATATTAAGAGTTGCCTTATCCTTTTGCCCCCAACCAGAAGTGAGAAACCCAGGGTGGTGATAGTCACGTCAGGAGGAATGCTCGTACAGAAGCTCAATATCGAGGACCTGCAGTTCGAGAAGATGAAGCCCTTTGACGGAACAATGGCCTATGCCCAGAACAAGAGACAGCAGGTAATTTTCTTTTGGTTTTGTTTTTTTCTCTTATAGAGTTTCTTTTTTATTCTTTTGATTTTAAGTTCTTTCTCTTTCTTTCGTCATGTTTTATCTTTGTGTGGTGTGTTTTGTCGAGATGATTAGGTTTGGATCTGTTCACACATTAAGGTTTTATTGAAGATAACTTGCAGTAATAAGTAATAAACAATGTCTTTTTGTTTTTTGTTTTCCTAATAGTGCTTGAAAGAGTGAAGCATTACAACATTACACTTGTTTATGATTTCACGTCTGTAAAATTACCGATAAAGACTGGCCTAATGGTTTTCTTCTTCTCCAAGTCTCTATCCCTACATCCACCCTTTCTTATGAATGATCACCATTTATAGCCTTCATCAGTTTTCATGCTTAATGTCTGCCTAGAATCCTCTCCATAAAACTATTGCAACTCTTATGTTAGGTGATGGCCAGTGATGAGATGCCAGTGTTAGTGTGACAGTAATCAGTTATTGTAGCTTTATTGCAGCTGATATGCTCCTTCTTTGAGATAATGGGTGGAACAGGACATAATGTTTAGTATATATTATATATTAGATATTTAGTCTTGATTTTGAAACTATATTTAGTCTTGATTTTCAACAGGTTGGCCAACTTTGGGGGAAATGATTGTACATTTTGCCCAACAAAATTAAGGTCTAAAAAGTATTTGAAAGCACAAATATGCATAACAAAGCTCTTCACTGTCCCTAAAAAGGAAGTGGCTTTTATACATTTTCCATGAATGTTATCTGCCTTAGAAACGCCAAGACAGATCACCAGAGGGCCTCAGTTGAAGATCTTAAGCCAGAGTGAGCCTGGAAAAAATGGAGTTGATTGCTTGACTAATTTATTTATTTGTTTTAAAGGTGGTGATGACGGAACAGTATGCCAAGCAATATCCTGATGTTCACTTCTCCTGCATGCATCCTGGTTGGGCAGACACACCTGCAGTGAGGAATTCCATGCCAGAATTTTACAATAAGGTCAGTTTTTTATTGTATGATAATGACAACAACAATAATGATTATCATTATCATTATTATTATTATTATGATAATGATTATAATAATAATAATAGTACTAGTAATAGTAATAGTAATAGTACTGGTAATAATAAAATGGTGATATCAGATAAAATTTCTTCCAATAATTTTACAAAACAATGATTGTACAGCAGTATATTTTCTTGCCTCCCTTCCACTTCTGCTTCATAACCCCTTCTGTTCATTCATTTGTTCTCCCTTCTCCTATCCTTCCCTTTACCTTTCCCTTTCCCCTTCCCCTTTTTCCTTTTTTCTTTTTCCCTTTCCCCTTCCCCTTCCCTTTCTCTCTTTTCCCCCCCCTTTTACCCCTACCCCCCTCTCTGTCTCTCTGTACTTTACCTTGCCTCTCTCTCCCTACCCTCTACCCCCTCTCCATCTCACTCTATGTACTTTCCTTCCCTATAACCAGTATATCTTAGATAAGCTCCTTTATGGCTTCATTTATCTATTTCTTGAAAAATATCTGCAACATCAGTATCTAAGGTCTTTAGCAGCATACTCAAAATATAGTGATAGGGTAGAGCTTGGAGAGCAAAGCCCCCCTGATAAGAAAAAATGCAGATTTTCATACTGGTTAATGATTAAGTTAATGATTAGGATAACTGGACAGAAGGGATGAAGAAGAGAAGGAAAAGTAAAGGAGGAGGAGAAAAGAGATCCAAGGTAAGGAGGATTCCCTACATTGGGCCACGGTCTCCCCCTTCCTAAGCACCCCCAAGACCACAAGAAGCAAGGGATTGGGGGGGTGTTATGGCTTTACTAAACAGACAGAGAGCCAAATATTCTTCAAGTAATTCTGTTTTGTGAATTGCAGATGAAGGACAAGTTACGGAGCCCCACTCAAGGAGCAGACACAGCTGTGTGGCTCGCTGTGTCACCTGCGGCTTTGGAACAGCAGTCTGGTCACTTCTTCCAAGGTAGGAACTTTGGACATTAATTACTCGAATGTGACAACGGTAATGGGTCCTTAGTGTATGTTATGGGTAAAGAGGAAAGTAAATCCATAAGTGGTATGTTTGGAATGCATTAAGTTGATGTAATTGTAATAGGCAGAGGGAGAATGAGGGGGAGTATGAGAGGACAAGTGGAGGAGTGTGTGGGAGAGGGAAAGAAAGGTCGAGAGGGTATAGGGCAGAGAGATAAAAAGTGACAGCTAAAGATTTTAAACAGGAGATAAAGAGATAGCGGAAGGAAAAATGCAAGAGAGGTTAACAACCATTTCTAATTTCCTTACAGATCGCAGTCCAGCAGCAACTCACCTTCCCTTAGCCTGGACGAAAGTCTGCACCAAAGATGAAGAAAACTTCATGACTGTTCTGAGCGAATTGGCAGCCAAATTCAAGGCATAGATTAACGAGATCTTCAGAGCGTCATATCCTCTCTTTTTTTTTTTCTTTTCTTTTCTTTTCTTTTGATTTCCTTTGTCTTTCTCTTCAGTATTTTAGTGAATTACTATAGGGGTAGAGACTTATTAAGTGTACCAGTACTGTTCTCTTCTCAGCTAGACTTAACTACCTCATCTATCATCACTTCCATCTTCATGCAGCTTACATTCATATAAATGAAGTTCCTCATATTACTCAAGATTTAAAGAATGAAAAAAATGCATGTATATACATAAGTAACATGGACATTCTGGAGTATAAAAAAATTACTAAAGATAATCAATTATGCATTCAGTTATTCCTGCCTGAACATCTACAGAGTACAATCTCAGTGCCTCTAAGCCATTTATTAAAGATAATCTTGCTGTAGGCAGATTCAGAGAACTAATCTTTAAGAACTTCCAGATGAAAAGAAAGGTCCTCAGGGATCTTAACTCACTCGAGATCAGAACTGCTTGCGTGATTTTGCTTGACATTAGTGAGTGCTAGACGGGCACTAAAGGCCAGATCAATCTTCTTTATAGATGTAATCACACCATGGATGTGAAATGAAATTTTCTTATAATCAGTGTAATTATCTATATCTATATATTTATTTATATAAAAATTGATATACATATATAGATATAATTCTGCCAATGATTTTATCTGTCAATTATATACTAAGTCTTCAAATTCTCTAGTTAATGATTTTGACACAATCACTCCCAGATATAGATCAGAGGCATAATAAAATATAAAGGAATGAAGTACAATGTAGATTGGCAATATAACACCCTTAAATATGATTTAACGTCCTCAAATATTAATGAAATCACATCTAAAGACTTAATAATCAATGAATTATTGTTTTTTGTAGTTTTGAAATAACTTCTTTGAAAGATAAGCTTGTATGGTAAATGTTTCTGAAAAACATTTACAGTATATAATATATATATAATATATATCAAAATCTTCATCCATTTCTCTAATGATCAACATGATCTTGATTTCCAATTAATTCAGTGGTGACAGGTTTTTCCCGCACCATAATGCAGTGCCTTATGCAGTTGCTCGAAGGAAAAAAATAGAAGCACAGGGAACATATTTTTCCACTCAGGTGATTTTGCTGTAGCATTCACAATTTCCAGGAAATGTGGCTTGAAAAGGACTAAGAGCACTTTTGAGGGCTGTGACTCCTCAAACAGTTGTTTAGGACACAACTTAGAACAGCATAAAAAGTGTTCCTGGCACAAATGATGCATTTCAACTAATACATAAAATAATAATTCTCATTTGTGCCTTTTTTATATAGGCTTGACTTCGCTTGGCATGGTAGTACATGCCACCTGTCAGCAAGGGTTTTAATATCAACTAGGGAAACCATGTAAACAAAGAATTTCTTAACAAAATATGCCTACCTCACCATCCTTGTCTGACTTAGCAGAAAGATTATATATTTCTCCCTCTTTTTACTGATGCAATAGGATTAAAAATTTGTAGTTTTACCCAATCATTTTACATAAGCTACCATCTTGTGTGCCAGGTAATCCAGAACTATGATGGAATTCTGCCAGAACGTATGAAAAATATTTAAAATGTATGGAAGAAATTTAAAAAAAAAACAAATGCATGCCACTTACTAGAGGCCTATTGTAGACATCTAATGGACGTGGCAGAAAATAGTTCATGAGGATGGTAAACATTGCATTTTGAATTTTAGATAGTTTAAATTTATAAAATCAGACAATCAGTTTATCAGTTACATCTAAGCAGAATATTCATTTTTTACGTTGGCTTTGAACAGGCTCAATGAATGGTCAGTTTATAAAAAATAAAATAAAAAATTACCAAGCATTTTATTGAGAAGTTTGAAAAGTCTGCTCTGATGTTTCCTTATAAACTTATTTTTCTAGGGACACCTTTCTTGAGGTTTCCAATTATGCTTTTATTTAAGCTGAGAGAAGTCCTGCGCAGAAGAATGATAGGAAATAAGTGCTCAAAACTCAAATCTCAAAAGTAGGTAGGTCCAACACAAAAAAAAAAATGTAATGTCTTGTATAATCTTACCTGCATTAGCTCTCCATTTTGAAGGTCTTATATTTAATGTTATAAGTTATAGTTATCATGAAAATTATGAAGGACCATTCAGCACAATAATCAACCACTTCCACTTGGTGAGGCGAACCGGTCACTCACTTACAAATTGTTAAATACAGAATTGATTGTTATATTTGTGAGAGGAAGATGTAAATATTTTTGTCTTGTGTCTCTGCAATACTGAATATATTGCAGAATTCAAATGTAAACTATATGTCCAATAAAACCAAATTATACAATCACTGGAATTTTAGCAAGACTGTTTACTCTGCCTAAGCCATAACCATATGAATCCTTTTCTTCATCTTAAACTGTTGTATCTCAAGGGTTATAAAGAAAGGTGTAAACATTTTAAACTCCGCAAAAAAAAATAGTGTTAAAGAAGGAAATACTGAATGTCAGTAACATTGAAATCTGCATGTGTTAAATCAAGGTACCAATGTCCTTTCTTTTAAGCTTAACTGAATTACAATGTATGCCATATGAAAAGTACATGAATATTTCTACTCATTTCATTCATTTCAAGGTATTTATCCAGTGTGATGGTCTAAATTTAGATGGATTTTCTTTGTTTGTAAAAAAAGAAAAAGAAAAAAAAAAAAGTGTAGGAGACCTGACAATTCTTATCATTTGCTTAACCACTATTATAACATTTTCTTGGAAAAAAAATAATCCTGCTGGAATGGTCTTCACACACTGATCTCTACTGCTATGACTTCTTTGGTCACTGAAGCTTTTTAGCATTTAATAATTCTGTAAATTTACCTCAGAGAATCACATCGCTTTGACTGACACTCAATTGAAAGAAAGTTATGCCATTTTATTTGATTTCATTTCCTTTCTTCTATTTCTTACGTCATTTCTTACATATTCTTGGGTTTCCTCTTCCATAATAATCCTTTTCTTGTTTCTCTTCCTCTTCTCCAAAGGATCTGCACACCTCAACATGCATCTTAGGGTCACAGAACTCACCGAAACACATCCAAGTTTAGACAGACACAGAAAAAGATGACTTAGATATATTTATGTATAGAGAAAGCTAGACTCCATAGTATAATTGGTGTGCTCTCATCTTCCATTGGTAACAATTTTTCACTAGTTTGAACTTTTTTCTTTCTTTTTTTTATCAGAGGTCAATTGAAATTTGGAAAATGCTGTATATATTGCAAAAGGTTTACATTTATGATCTATAGTAAATGCAATTAATATACAAAATAATATTCTGAAACCAGTTTGCATACTGGTAAAGTGTATATACTAGCTAGAAGTTGAATATGTTGCATCAAGTAATCAGGGCATCAATCTTGAAGTTCTGTCATATATATTTGCAACTTTACTTCCTCATTTACATGTAGGTAAATAACCTTTCCTCCTTTACTCTACATGCAAGAATCTGAAATCTTTGCTTCAATGCAGGGAACTAAGTTCTTTGCAGCTTGTAATGAAAGACAAATAAACTTTTCATATTTTTAATGAAATTATTGGCATAAAATGAACAAAGAAAAAAAATCTCCTCGGAGTTTGTTATTGGGGCAAAATTTCAGTATCAATTTTAATGTTTCAGCTGTTCAACCCCAGCCAGTATGCAACGGATAATATGCAATACTGGGTAATTGTATAAATAAGAATGAGCTTATGAAGTAAGTCTATGTTAACCAGTTTAGTAATATCCAAGTGAATATTACTAAACTGAACTTCTGCCACCGTATAAGGACATGCACATCCAAAGGTGATCTCTGCCCAATTACCCGAAAATGCATTTATTAAATATTTTATTACTTAAAAAGTTCCTCTATAGCGTAAATGTCAATATGTTCGTATTCATCATGCACTGGAACCTCGTGATTTAAATGAACATATCAATGCTTACATTACAGGTGAGTTTAAACGAGCAAAATATTTTCTGCATTTCTGGCCAAGCGGTCTGAGAACACCTTTGGACGAGCATTTCTTCACATGTGCATCTTAGGTCTATGTTGAATTGTATGTGTGCAGGGTATTAAAAAAAAAAAAAAAAAAAAAAAAAAAAAAAAAAAAAAAAA